GCAAATTCCAGCCCAACTTGGGCAATTTAGAGACCTGGTCTCAAAAATCAAACCAAGAGTTTCGGGAACATGGTGGAGCAGTGAGCAGCAGGGAAAGAACCTCTCCAAGTGTTGGTGTCCAGGAGGAAGAGCGGGAGGAGAGAGGGGTCCCCTGGACACAGGAAGGGTCTGAACTGAGACTTGAAGCTCAAGGAGGGAGAGAATGCAGGAACCAGCAAAAATAAGAACACCAGGGGCGGCGGACCTGACAAAAATGGAGAAGCAGCAGGCAAGCTGAGCAGGCCCATATGTGCAGGCCCCATGTGTGCAGGCAGAGGTCCTGTTGACCAGGGAAAACCAGCAAAGAAGCTGCCTCTGCCTCCATTGCCTCCATTCTCTGTAAGAAGCTGGAGGCCATCCAGGATGAGATGATAACTGAAGTAGGGAAAAGACCTGACATTTATGTTGTCTGATTGCATTTGCAGGCCTGGGGCCAGTGGTCCAGTAACTAGTTAGAGGATAACAATAGGCAATATAAAAGCCTGGCAGAGTGGCTGACTCCTGTCATCCCAGGACTCAGGAGGCTGAGGCAGGAGGAATTCAAGAGCAGCCTGGGCTACAAAGTGAGCTCAAAGCCAGCCTGAACTGCATAGCGAGATCCACACACAAGTGCATCTCCTCCCCCCCCATATGCAGTATGGTAAGGATTGTGGATTTCCTACTATCCTGTTCCTGTTTATTAAATTGTCCTATTTCACTCCCTTTAAAATAAAAAAAAGGTTTAAAGGATTGAATATTTAAGAAGATCGACTACTTTATATCACTTGTCACAATTTAGGATCCCTGAAACTTTCCTAAATTTATATTAACCATTTTTTTGTGGCCAAAGCATTGATCGGAACCTGTGCAGACATTACCTGAAAGAGGAAACGGTAAGAAACTCTGCATGTCTACTGTAAAGGGAAGTAACTGCTCACTCCATTAGCGCTGCACCAGTTTTGTGTTAGCCATGAGAAATCATTCCTGGCTTAGTGAGTGGCTGGACGGGGATCCCGATATCACTGTTCATATCCTCTGCTGTGCTGGTCCAGTGTCCCATTGTGTCCTTGAAGTGTCATTGTCTCCTGGCCCCTCCTGCCAATATGGAGGGCAAAGGGATGCAAATACTGGTGAGATAAGCTTTCTGACTATCGCACAGTCCAGGCACCTGAGAGAGAGTCCAAGGTCCCCTGCAGGCTTTTGCTCCTTTTCAGTTCTCTGGAGCGGGGCTGGGTTTGGAGCAGGCGTCTCCAGGCAGAGCAGGACCCTCCTCCCTCACTGGGGCAGTGCCTGGATTCATGTTTTCATTGTCAGGGCCCGAGACTTATCTCTGCTTGTAGTCATGACAATGGTGTAAACAGAATTGATATAGTTCAGTACCAGAAACTTACTGGAGTCTAAATAAAATTTTCTTTGTCTTTTCACAAACTTTCCCTAATGTCTTTGGGTCTTGCGGGGTCCCCTTTTAGTGAGGGATTGCGGGTACCCTTTGGGGTTGCGGAACATTTCACATTGAAGTGGAGCCGTCCTTCAGTGGTCAGGGGAACTTTGGATGCCTTCTTTTGATGCTTTGATTGTGCTCTTTACTTTGTGATAAGGGATCGATGTCCAGAGGGCAGGGCACACCCTGCCCGGGCTGCTCTGGAAGCTTTTACTTTGGACGTGAGAAGCACAGAGGGGCTGCTCTGCTGACCTGAGGGCCCGCTGGGGACGCAGTGTAAGAGTCTCTGCAGAGGCTCTGCCTCCTCTCTGCTTTCCTGGGATCCACTTGTGTCCCCAGCATTGGAGCCAGAAGCAGGGGCTGGGGCCCTGAGAACAGCTGGGGACCAGTGCCAACTCCAAGGGTAAGGTGGAGGTTGGTTAGGGCTCATGAGGCTCTGAACACTGACTGCTAGCTGCTGTGTTCCGTGATTCTGAGAAGTCACAGCCTTCCCAAGTGGGGAAAAAAGAGAGGGAGGTAAGCTGGCTTTGAAAACACCAGTGGGCCAAGAGAAGGAAACCAGAGACCAGCTGGCAGGAGGAGGAGGGGGAGGTGGAGGAGGAGGAGGAGGAGGAGGAGGAAGAGGAATAGGAGGACGAGGAAGATATGGTAGGGCTGGGGACCATAGGAGCAGGCAGCGTGAATGGTCATCTTCTGGGACTGCCCAGCACAGCTGGTGAGGGCCAAATATTTCTTTCTTTTTTTTTCTTTGTGGTACTAGGTTTTGAACTCACAACCTTGCTTTTGCCAGGCAGGCGCTTATGGTGCTGGGCTAAATCGCCAAGCCCGAGGGCCACATCTTATTCATGTGCTTTAGCAACATTTCCATAGCATTTTCTTGGACCAGGTCCTGTCTAGTTACACAAAGTGACTACAAATACAGATTCATGTCCTCATTACCAGCTTGTCAGAGAGAAACTGAAACCATGGCGACTGTGCAGATGAGTCAACCTAGGTGGGGAAGGTCACGCTGAGAGGCCCAGCCTGGAGGGCCGCCCTGGCCGCTCTCTAGTGTTTTTCCTTCCAATGACCGCAGTTGGGCTTCTCTTCCTTCCACAGTAGGTGATTTGGGGACCTTTTCTCTAGCCAGGGCTCTTCATCTTCTCCATGTGTCTGCTGGTTCAGGGCACTGTCCTGGGCTCATAGCATGGAGGAACTTGGGTGAAGACCTCACAGGGGCTAATGCTTCCAGGTGAATCTGGTCACAGTCAGGGGGTGCCCTACAGCCCTCCCACAGGTGGTAAATGCATCTGCACTGTGGGGGCTGCTGTCCTGAGATCACAGATGGTGTGTGCGAAAGCGCAGATGGAGGGAGGGTTCCACCACAGGGATCCAGGTGTACAGGAGAGAGGGGCCTGGTCTCCCGGAAGACCTGGGCTGCACTGTGGGTACAGGGGGGTGACGGTGGAAGGCAGCCCCCTTTGATGGCCACAGGATGGCTCCCTCACACCACTGCCTTCCTTGAAGAGGTGAGAGGAGCTGGGTTCTGTTGTTTTCAGGGGTCAGGATTGCTGTGGGCCCACAGCCCTGTAGCACCCTGAGCCCACAGGAATGCTGTGCTCTTGCAGGGAGCTGACGGCATCCCTGAGAAGGGCTCTTTCCTCTGAGGCCTCGGGGACCTGGCCTGGATCTGCCTCCTGCCTCCTCCTGCCTGGTGGTCAGGGCCTGCCCAGGGTGTCTCCCCTGGGGTCTGAGCCATGGAAGATTCCTGCAGCTGCTGCCTGCTCTGCCACCTCTTGTCCCTGCTTCTCCTTGTCCAGCTCCCTAACTGGGCATCCACAGGTGTGTGGGTCCCCGTCTCTCTCCTGTGAGGGTGGCAACACTTGGACGGGATTGGATGCGATTTGTGGCATCTCTGGCTCCAAAAGGATCACATTTCCCTATCAGGAATTTTAATTAAAAATTAAGATGGATCGTATACTAAACCATAAATTAAGAGCTTAGATGTTTTTAAAAACATAGGATCTTGACAGTTGTCCAAAGATCAGCTTTTTTGTATTTAAAAGCAGAGCACCAATAAAGTAGGAACATTTCCCCTTACCTTTTATTTCCCTGCTTGTTGGGTTGTAAACATCCATCTATACATTCTGTTTCCCAGATATTAACAGAGTATTGTCACTGTTAGGTGTTAGGTGTAAACACGTATTTGTTAGACAAGCAAATCAAAAGCACTGGCCATTATTATATAACGGATGTCCTAGAAGGAGATGGTGAACATGAATTACAGCGCACAGACAGGGTGGAGGGAGACGGATGGGCGTGTGCTGTGAGGGGAGTGGGAGATGGGCCTGTGCAGCAGCAGCACGCTTGGTGAGGCCCCATAGTAGCCAGGGTGCAGCCCTGGAGAGGAGAGCTGGGCCTGAACACCTGCCAGGGAGGACGGTTCTTCAGTGCCTGGGAGAAGCACAGGCAAGGGTTGGCTGGGCAGAGCTAGCCAGGGGTGCAGAAGAGTACAGGGGAGAAAAAGGGGCCCACTCTGTTGGGCTAAGGGCTCCCTGGGGGAGATAGGGAGCCACGGGAGGCCTTGAGCAGAGTAGGGAGAGGCTTAGCCTGTTTTTAAAAGAATCACAGAGGTGGAAGTGGGAGAGGACAGACGGGGTTTCAGTTCGCTCTTTTGCCCAGAACAGAGTGAGGGTGCTGGGCTCCAGGTCAGAGAGCACAGGGGGTGAGAAGTGGCACTTCCTCTGCCCACTGCTGCTTGTCCCCGTAAAGCTAAGGTCTCTGATGGGCAGGAGGGAGGCCCAGCACTCCTCTTGGGTGTGAGGTCACAGGTGTGCTGTGAGTCATGAGAGCGGGAGTTTCACAGATGCAGCCTTTGACTCTGTGTTTGAACATGTGCATATACTTCAGTGAAGGAGAAATATGAATGGGCGCAACCAATCTAGTATGGGAAGTGGGGAATTTCCTGGTGTGGTTAAATTATCCAAGTGTGCTCACCCATGGAGGCCTTGGTGTGCTCTGTGGCTGGTTTCAGGTTTGTCCTTACACAGGCCAGGCGGAGCTGGGGCTCTCAGTGTGTGGCCCCTGGACCAACAGCATCCATCCTGTGGCCTTTAAAGAATAAAGTAAAGGAATGAACGTTCTGGAGTCCACTCAAGAAAATTGGGCATGGATTCCACTAATCTGTTCTCCAGGGCATCGTGGTGATGAAGTCTGGGCTCCCTTTTGGGATCCCTTAGTTAGAGAATTATTTATGGAAGTCAGGAGCACAGGTGAAGAAGGAGTCTCTTGGGCATGGTTCTAGGTCACATCCTGATGGTCAGAGGACAATATTGCAGTTAGAGTCACCACAGCTCAGTCCATCAGACCTCAGTGATCTGCCCATCCAGCCCTCGCCCCAGGCTTGCCTGGCTTTCCCATGTGGTGTGTGTGGCCTTTGGCCTTTGGATATCTCTCCCCAGCGTTCTCACTGCTTTGTCTGTGTCCGCAGAGGAGTTCCGGGTGCTCGGGCCCCCAGAGCACATTGTGGCAGTGCTGGGTGGCGATGCTATACTGCCCTGCTCCATTTTCCCACCCATGGATGTGAGAAACATGGAGCTGAGGTGGTTCCGTACCACGTTCACGGAGTCTGTGTTCGTGTATCGGAACCAGCGGGAGCAGACAGAGGAGCAGACGGCTGAGTATGCAGGGCGGACCTCACTGGTGATGGACCTTCTTGCCCATGGGAAGGCTGCCCTGAACATCCACAAGGTCCGGGTTTCTGACAATGGGATGTATAACTGCTTCTTCAAGATGGGAAGTTTCTCTGAAGATGCTAGCTTGGAACTGCAGGTGGCAGGTGGGTTATAAGATTTCTATTGCAGGGACCTTGGGGATACTGGGTTTGAGATGAATGTTAGGGGTATTTAATTTAAACTAGGATTTTGTAAATGATGAATAGATGCTTCATCCACTTGTTGATTTATTTGATACCAGTGCTGTATATAGAGCTCCTCCAGTGTGTCCTTGTTCTATGCACCAGGAGTCCGTCAGTGGAGCAGAGATTCCAACTCTATTAATTTTGTATTCCAGAGTAAGAGGCAGAAAAATCACACTAAGTTAATTGGTAGAAGCTTTTAGAGGGTGACAAGGTGTTAAAATAGCGGAGAAATGTGGGCTGGTTCACATGTGCCATAGCACACGGGGGCTCAGGAGGGTTTTGCTCACAACTGGAGCATGGTTCCCAGGAAGTGAGTGTTTGGATATGTGGGTATCCGGGACCCCGAGATTCATGCAGGGGAAGTACCATTGTGAAACGCTTGAGCCAGGAGCATGCTTGATGTGTTCCTTGTGAGGCTGTCACGATTGGTGGGAAGGTAACATGAGGTGACAGCACTGGAAGAAAGGGCGGTTCCTGGGTCAACGCTGCCCACATCAGGACAACCTGGTAGGCGCAGACTCCGGAGGTGATACAGGAGTTCAGCAGGTAAGGTTCCAAACAACCTGGAGTTTGATGGACCATGAGGTGAAGAGCCAGGGGCTGCCTGATATGTTCCCTTTGATGACCACAGTTAACCCGTGATCTTTGGGGCTGAGTGTGGGGCTGAGGGCTATGGGTGGCTGAGTCTGGGGAGAAGCCCTGAGAGGGACGTGGGGGAGGAAGGACCTGCCTGCCCTCAGCCAGTGGCGGGCTGGGAGAGGAGGATTTGGACACAGAGGGTTGCAAGTTGATTTATCCTTGACACGGTCCAAGGAGGGCCCCAAAGTAGAAATGGGTAACTCTGAGTCACCTCAGCCATGGGAAGGTTTCAGGTTTGCTGACTTCTATCATGGAAAAAGGGCTTTTAGGAAGCATATTGAGAAGCAATGTACTTTCTGAGGCGTCTTCCAAGGCAGGGCTGGCAGGAAGGGGGCCCAGGTCCCAGCTGAAGCTTTTGTTGTCTTTAAGGCCTTTGGAGTTTTTCCTGGAAGAGAAAAAGCTTGGATTACTTTTGTGTCCTGAAGCTTCAGTTTTTCTTAAAGGGTACAAATTTTAGTATTACAATTTTTGTTGTCTCCTTTCTCTTTATAGTTGTTTCTTCCATCCTACCTCAGACTGAACTGGTAGATTCGGCGCAGAATTTAGAGGGGGAAAAGGAAATACAGAGACTTCTGGGGTTGTGTGTTTTGGCTAGTTGTTGTTTAGTGCCAGGAGTATTGATAATTATGGGTCAATTATCTAACAATGCTGCATAACTAATAGCCACTCTCTTAGTGGCTATACTAGTCACTTTGTTTCTAGGACAAAATACGTGACACAGTGAAGTTGATGGAGGGATTTGTGTTGGTTCACAGTTTCAGATCCTTTAGTCTTGGCTGTCTGAATACAAGGCAGAAGCATCATCATGGCAGAGGAATGCAGGTCAAACCATGACAACCAGGAGAGAGAGCGAGAAGGGGAAAAGAATCCCTGCTTCTGCCTCTGGCCCCCGAGACCCTCCTTCCTGTCCAGGCCCTCCATACTCCCAACACACCCGGCTGTGCACTGGCCAGTGGATTAACTCGGTGATGGTGATACTGCTCCATGCTGCAGTCACCCTCAGAAAGCCCTGCCTCTGCCCCCTGAGACTTCGGGGGAGCAGTTTAGATCCAAGTCATAACAGTGGCCTGTTGCAGTAAATACTGGATTAATTCGGGTGTTAGGGGAGTACAACTAATCTGGCTAGATTTGGCTAATTGCACCTGGATTTAGTGTATCTTTGGTGCTTTTGAAGAAATAGATTTTAAAAGAGCTTTTTCCTACCCCAGAAATCCTCTGGAGAAAGATAGTAAAAAAAATGCTTCTCTTAATTGAGTAAGGATCAAACCAGCATGTGATATGTATCCTAGACAGTCTACTAAGGGATTTTAGGTAAACCAGAAAGAAGTCTCACTTTTTTTATTTCACAGCGAAACTCGTACAATTTTTTTCTTATAATAATCCTCAAGTAAGGGAGCTTGAAGTGAAATTTGTCAGTCGTATGTCACCCTACACTCACTTGGTAATTGGAGCGACCATCTGTGTTGTCTAGTGGGCCATACTTGGCATGAAACAAACTTTTTTTTTTTATTTTTTATTTTTTTTTTAACTTTTTTTTTTAACTTTTTTTTTAAACAAAGAAACTACTTCATATCTTTGTGACAGGAAGTAGTTTTGCAGCTACCCCTGAAAGGAGTCGCAGGGTTGTTTCCTCCTCGATGTTTTACATTGCTAGATGATGGTTTCCAGGTCCTTGGGGAAGATGTCTCTGGGTCATAATGTGGACAAAATACTGCTCCAGTGTTAAAAATTAGCACATCCATTTCAAGGAGATAAGGAATTTATTTGAAATTAACACTCTGCCCAGGGCTGTGCAATATAAGTAAGGAGAGGACAAGAATTTTCTCTTATTTTCAATGCAGAGAATTAAAAAATGTTTCCTTTTATTCATGGTCAGTACAATAGGTGGCCATGTGGAGTGTGACTTCATCCATCCACATTTCTGGAGTTTGACTGACTGTTGGCTGACCTTGGACAGCTTTAACTGGAACCGTGTGCTGGGCAGGTGTCAGTTACTCCATTAGATGGCTTTCTCCAGGGGGTAGCAAGAGATTTCCCTGGCCAAAGACATGGCAGGGGGCAGAACCAAGCGCTGATCAAGCCTCAGTATGCATCACATGGGCTAAAGGCCAAATCAGGTCACAAGACTGAGACCTCAGGCGGGAACATAAAGGCAATGGAAGGTGTGTGGAAGAGGGCAGCTGGATGCTACAATGGTGGAGAATTTGGGATATTTTTATACTGTGCTTATCACAAGTAGGACAACATTATCAGATTGGTTCTAGAAACTGGATTTGAAGGTGTAAACACAGAAGCTTGGTAGAGAAAATTGATAGGAACCTGGATAGAAGAGTAGAGAACTGAAGAGAAGCGGCCCCTGAATATAATTTTGAAGTGTTTGGGCAGCAGGTGTGGAAGCAGGTGTCCCAGAAGAACGTGTGAGGTGAGAAGCCAGGAGGTTCATGGATGGAGCCTTGGGGCCAAATCCCTGCTGTTTCCTCAGGACTCGTGGTTGGGGAAGAGGCCCCTGTCCTCTGTGCCCTCTAGTGTCCCTGTGCTCCGGCCCTCTGTTCCCTGTGGCATCGCCTGTAGGCTGACCCATGCAGAGGTCCCTTTCCAGTAGAACCCCAGAGATGTGAGGTAGAAGGCATTCCTTGGCGTTGTGTATCACTCCCGGGGTGTCATGGTGGCCTGCAGGGCACCCACAGCTCCTCTCCTGCAGGGGTGGGCTCTGCCCCTCAAGTGCACATCCAGGGCCCGGAAGAGGATGGCGTCCGTGTGGTATGCAGGGCCTCCGGGTGGTTCCCAAAGCCCCAGGTTCAGTGGCGAGACGTCAGTGGGAAGAAGATCTTGGCATTCTCTGAGGCCCACATGCAAGATGCTGACCTGCTCTTCAGCGTGGAGGCCACCGTGGTGGTGAGAGAGGCCTCTGTGGGGAATGTGACCTGCTCCGTCCTCAACCCCGTCCTGGGCCAGCAGAAGGCCATGGCCATTTTCATCCCAGGTCAGTGCTGCTCCCGCCCCAGCACATCTAGGGAGGGAGGCGTGACCCCAAGTGTGCTGGGCTGGCTGTCCTGGGCTGTGCCCCTGATTGTCTCTGCCTGGGCCACAGAGCCCTTCTTCCCACAGGCCTCTCCCTGGAAGGCAGCGTTTGCTGTGAGCCTGATTGTGATGGGGCTCCTACTCTTTGGGGCTGGCTATTTTCTGCACAGAGAACATTCTGGAAAGCTGCAAATACAGCAGACACAGAAGAATCTGAGGCTGGCTAAGGAGGAGGATAGGAGGATAAAAGAGCAGGCACAGAAGGCAAAGGGTAAGCAGGGTGGGCAAGGCTGGGCAAGGTCAGAGCTGGGTGTGCCTGGGACAAGGTGACAGGGCGGGGTCTGTGGATCCAGCTGCCCTGAGACCTGGGCCCAGCCAGGGTGGCCGGAGAGGTGTGTGAGGACAGCTAGTGCTGTGGGGTCTTGTGTGGGTCTGGCGGTAAAAGTTTTAGGGAACAAAATAATTTTGTGGTGGGTTTTTCAGATACACAGTGTTTCCTCCCTTCGTAGCGGGAGCTCACGTTCTTTTCCCCACACTTTCAGATGAGCTCCAGGCAGAGCTGGGTAAGTCCTGCCCCCCTGACCTTACCGTGTCCCTCGGCGGCAGACGTCCTGGTTCCCCCTGTCTACTCAGGATGTGTTGCTTTTCAGGTCAGAGGAAGGCAGCTTACGAGGCTGGTAAGTGACTCTCCTGGGTCCCTGGACTCCACATTTCGCCTGTGCCCAGGGGTCCCCTCTCCTTGTTTCTGTGTAGGCACAGATATGTAGATGCTCTTCCTGAGGGCAGAGGGGAGGCTGCTGGAAGGCAGAATCCTGCTGGGTGGCTCTTCCCCATCGGGGCGCTCTTTCCTGCCCAGACTTTGGGGCTGGCTACTGTGGTCATCCTGAGGTCTGTCCTACACTCTGCTTCTTATCTTGACCCCACTCTGTGCTCCATATTATTGGCTTCATAGCTGTCAACATACGTAGCCCTTGCTCTGCACCTGGAAGCCCAGAGACAGACCCTGAAGTCTCATTACTGGATCAGTATAAATTAGCAGTTCCTCCTGTTTCCTTCCACATCACAGTCCAGGGTGTTTGTCCTCGGAGGCCCTGAAGGTCCCAGTGAGTGTGATAGGGAGAGGGCTGGGCTGCTGAACCGAGAGCTGCCTCCAGTAGTGAGGCTTAGCCCTGGAAATATTTCACCTGGGAAAGGTTGGGGTCTTTACCTAAGAAGGCCCCTCACATTGCTGTCATTCAATCTTTCCTTATGGGGCTGGGGCTTTAGTTCCGTGGCATAAACGCCTGCCTTGGAAGCAGGGAGTCCTGAGTTCAATGCCTGGTACCGATAAAAATGAAAAAGACAAAAAAAAAATCTTTCCTTATTTATTTATTCTTGGTACAGGGATTGAATTCCTGACCTCACCATTACCAAGTAGGCACTTACTATGCTAAGCTAAACCCCAGCCCTTTCTTCCTTATTTTTGAAAGTTCCCCACATATATCTTTTCCAAAGAAAAGCTGAGTTAATAACGCTTCTGAGAATTACAGAATACTGTGTTTTGTTCCCTAGAATATCGTCACACATAATACAGTTATGATTCGTACTAGAAAACTCAATTTAGATAGGATGTGAGTTCTGGCTTTTGGTTTTGAGGCAGAGAGAGCTGTCCAACAGCTGAAAATCACACAGCTGAGGGACAGCGGGAGTCCTCAGCCTGTGAGGCAGCTTTCTCCTCTGTGCCCATGGAGTCTCCCAAGATACCCTGCTTTGTCTCACAAGGAGGAGGCATCTCCTTTGGCCTGTCCCCTCCTGGGGTTTTTGTCACCTGTAGAATGTAGGGGAGCAGGGCCAGGTGGCCCCTGCTGAGAGGCTTGTGGCTGGTGTGTAACCAGGGTGTGTTCCCTTCCAGCCTGGAGGAAGGCACAGCTGTACCCGGGTAAGTGACGCTGACCCTCCCTCCGGCCTGACCTCCTGGCCTCTGTGGTGCTTCTTTCCTGTCAGAGCCTCTGCCCAGGATGAGCTGGGTAGCCTTCCTGTGGGCCACGGGGACTCCCAGTTCCAGATGGGAGTATGGCTGGGATTATAGGTCTGTCCCCGCTGGCCCCCTCCTGTGCTGAAGGTCAATGCTAGAGCTAGCAACACCAGCTGAAACTCTTGTTCCACCGATAGTGAGGTCCTCAGAGACTGAGTGGAGCACCTGATGACCACAGGGCAGGCACTGCTGGTCCCAGAAGGCTTCAGAAATCCAATTTGATTGGGGCGTGGAGGTGCATGGCCATCATCCCAGCACTGGGGAGGGTGTTGTGGGAAGATCACTGCAAGTTCGAAGCCAACCTGGCTACATAGTAAGTTGAAGGCCTTAGCTACATAGGGAGACCCTGTCTTACAAATCCAAGCAACCAACCAATCAACCAACCAACCAGCAAACACGAAATCCACCATGACTCAGGACACGGACTTGCAAAGGGGTCCTTCATTCTGTTTTTGCCTTTTACCCTAAAGTCTTCCCCTCTGGGCCCAGTTCTCCTGTTTTCTCTTTCCTGTTGTTCCCCTGGTGTTTTGTTTTTGATACGGTCTCAGTAGGGCTGTTAGCCTGGTCTTGAACTCACCATATAGCCCGGGCTCTGCTCCTCTCTGGGGTCTCTTTTGTCTTTTCTGGCTTCTAGAGCCGTTCCATTGTCTGTGGCCTCTTCTTCCATCTTCCAAACCCGCAAGGCAGCCTGACTCACCGCGGTTCTGTGATAATGACTGATGCTCTGACCACTGCCAAGCAAAGTCTCTGATTTGGCAGGTTCACATGATTAGTTTGGGCTCACCCGAGTAGCGCAGGGTCATTTCCTCATCTCCAGAACCTCTTTCTCCATCACATTTTTCAAGCCCTCTTCCCATACAGTTAGGGGTCTTTAGCCAAGAACTCCCGTCTCCCAAGAACATTTTTATGCTTTTGGCAGCTTGAGATGGACATACTTGGGGTGCCCTCATGCTGAGGGTTGTCCTTGAAGCTTTCAAGCTCTTCTGGGAATGCTTGGGGGAGGCAAATGCACAGGTCCCTGTTTTTGGATTCACCCACATCTATTGGGATGTTTTTGCTCCCACTGGCTGGGGAAATGGGCAGTCACTCGTATCTTCTCTCTCACTGGTGTATCTCTTTCCTGCTTTGAGGTTCTTTCTCTCCCATCCTAGAATCCTCTCCACTGATTCCTAACTGAGCAAAACTTCCGTGATTTTGTATCCTGAGTTCCCTCCACAAATGCTTTCCAGTCATCTTAAACGTTTAAGTCAGCTTGTTTTTCATGAGTAAATGGAGGTCTTGAAAGATTTGATATCTATAATTATATCACAAGAAAACCATGGTTCCAGGGTCACTGCGCCTGAGAAGGCATCATTTGGTAGTGAAATCTAGGTAGTGACTTTTCCACACAGGGCTATGGCCAGCATCTGGGTCCCAGTGTTAAGTCCCTCTCACCCCTGGATGTTGAGCCCGGAGCCTTCATTGAGTACTTCCCCAGCGCTTTTAAAAAACAATTTTCATTCTGAGACAGTCTTGCATGTGTGTAAGTTGTGCAGGTCCCCTGTGCTGGGAGCCCTCATGCCTCAGCCTCCCAGAGATGCAAGGGTAAGTTTTAGGACACAGTCTTGTTGGAGAGGCTGCAACAGGACGTGTGTGAGTGAGAAGTGCTCACCTCAGACAATGTTTCCAAACCATCTCTGCGCTGCTCTCCCAGCCCTGTGTCTCAGAGCTTGAGTGTTTCCAGCCGTCTTAAGATCCCTGACTGAAATGTGTGCTTCTCTTGTAGACTGGCGGAAGGAACAGTTCCAGCCTTGTGAGTGATTTTGTGCTTTTCTTTTTTTTTTTTCTTTTTCTTTTTGCCCTCCTCGCTGTGCCCAGGGCTGCTGGCCTCCCTTCACGTTCTCTAGGGTGATACAAATTTTGGCATCGTCATTTGTGTGGGGCGGGTGGCAGTTAATGTTCTTGGCCTCCCCTCCCTCTGGTAGCCAAGTGGCTGTGACAGGTGTGACTTGGGGTTGGCTGTGTGCCTTATTTTGAGGAGGGAGGGGCCTTGGGTGATTGACATCTCTCTCTCTCCAGTGTCTGTCACTCTGGATCCAGGATCTGCCCACAGACACATCAGCGTCTCTCATGGAAAGACAAGTCTCACCTGCGAGCAACCGAATTGGTTTGACATTTGCAGCGTGTTGGGCCATGAGGGCATCACGGCAGGAAGGTGGTGCTGGGAGGTGGAGATTACGAGTGGAGAGAGCGGCCAGTGGGCCCTGGGGGTGTGCAGGGAAGATGCCAACAGGGCAGGCTGGTATCGAGAGATGGTGGACAAGGGGTTCTGGGTTGTGGGATGGGTGAGAACTGGACACTTCACTTATGATAAATCTAACTCTGTGGTTCCTGGCGAGCCATCTGAGGCCTGCTGGAGGGTGGGGGTTTTCCTGGACTACAGTGAAGGGGACCTCTCCTTCTATGACATGACTGCGGGGTCCCACATGTTCTCTTTCCCGCAGGCTCCCTTTTCTGGGACTCTCTTTCCATACTTCAGCTTTAAAGGTGGAACTGTGTCTTTGACCATCTGCCCCCCTGAGAGTGGTTCTTTGTGGCACCCTGCACAGTTTGACAACAATTGTCCTTCTTTGAAGGAGACCCTGAAGTCCTCTGGGGAAGGACTGGGCTTTGGCTCTGAGGAGGGTGAAGTTGCACCAGGGGCAGACTCTCCCTTACTCTCCAGGGACCTGGGGGCTATGATCCCATAGAGTCCCTGGTGTCCTTGTGCCCTTGGGCTGTTCCTGGGTCTGCAGGCTCTCTCTTGTAAAAGACCCTGAATCAAGCCTGGCTGCCTCACTAGCTTCCTGCTCTGGGTTCAGACTCCGTGGTGCGTGGTCTAAGAGTCATCAGCTCCTGTTTTTTTGTACATAAGGAAGATAAGAGTGGACTGTTGCTGGAATTGGTTTGGGATGCTGACCCTAACCACAGTTCTTGTAGATAGCAGTAGGTATTGAAATGTCTCTCATGGAGGTCTCTGTTATTTGTATAGAAAAAGCAGTGCTGAGGGCCCCATTGTGCAACACCAAGGGGAGGTCACTTTATTGGTCTTGAGTATGGTAGATGGACCCTGAGGCTGACTGAGGGCTGGGCCCCATCTCCTACAGATTTTATCTCTCTAAACCTGAAGCTTTGGTAGCCACACATTTCCAGGGATGTGAATGAGCAATCAAATTTCACAGGAGATGAATCTAACACTCAAAGCCTTATGCTTTCTTTGGATGACGCCTATTTTTCTAAACCTCAGTGTATTTTTGTCACTAGTGAGAGAGTTGTTCTGTGTTAACCCCAAACAGTTTACCCTGAGGGTCACATGGGAGGTATGTTTGTTTACATACTGAGCATCCTGAGTGTTCCCTGGGCAGGTGTCATTTCAACCAGTTGGTTTTCATAAGGATACTGTGGTATGTCTATTTGTTTTATATGAACTACATTTTACATACTTTTAAAAATTTAGAATGTATTCACTTTTGAGGTTTGTTTCTAGTGAAATCTAATAGTTCTGTTTATTTTCTCATATTAATTCATGTTTAATTTGATTTTTAATTTTTTGGTACCTGGGACTCACAACCTAGACAGGTGCTTATGCTGCTGAGCTAAATCCCTGGCCCTCATGTTTAATTTGTGAAAAATAATTGTTTTGAATATTTTTGAACATGGGACATTGTCTCACTACAGACGATTTTGTGTTTTGAGAGTCTCGCTGAGAAGTTCAGGCTAGCTTTGAACTCATCACATATCCTGCCCTGGCCTCCAACTCATGACAATCTCTTGCCTCAGCCTCCTGAGGGTTGGGATTACAGGTGTGCTCCACATGCCCAACTACTACAGACAGCTTTTATTCATCTCCTGAACTCAGTGGTATTCTTTTGCAACACAAAATGGACACCTTCAGGACCCTGAGACCGAATAGGAAGTGCAGAAGCAACACTGAAAAGGGAAATGTCAGCATATCATAAAAGTTGCAGTGATCTTCCTGCCTCAGCCTACCCAGTTCTGGCATTACAGGCTTGTGCCACAACTAGCTGTAGCTTTATTTTGAGCCAGGATATTGCTAACTTGCCCAGAGAGGACTTGAGCTTTTCGTCCTCATGCCTCAGCGTCACAGGACCTCGGAGTAGAGCTTTATGCCACAATGCCTGGCCTACTAAGTTTTTTTTTAAATGTACCCCACAGGAATGTCCAAAAGGCCCCACTGTGCTCACTTTTGGTGAAGTAATAAGAAATAGAGGCTCACATGATCAGAAATGTCAGTGTCCCAATAGCAGTGTGTTAGGCTATATGTTGAAGAATTCAGAATGGCTGTGAGTGTGCCAGTGAGCTGCAGGATCACAGTAGTTGAATGCTGAAACTCACTCCAGAGCCATCAGTGTGAGTCTGTATGAAAGCTGAAGAGCCTGTGTTGGAGGTTGGAGCCTGCTGCAAGCCTGCGGGACCTGGAGACCAACATGTGATGGCAAAGGTGAAGACTGCAGCTCCTCTGAATGGAGACTTCCTTCTTCCCGTTTTTTATTCCATCTGAGCTACAAATCTATTGGTTAATGCCTCCCACATCTGGGCTAGGCCCTGCCCCTCAGTTTGCTGGCCTACCTGTCAATCATCTAGGAACACACCTGGGAACTCACTAACCTGTTAAAGCTCCTCTTTTACAAGTCAAGTTGACATATCATGATTGAAGTTCACACTGTCCCAATAAGTATTTTGTCCCAACTTCCTGAAACAGCTTCTACCACTCTTAAAATTTCCTGACAATTTTGAAAGAAGAGCATTTTGTTATTCATAACAAGTGTCTTTCACTTCTTATGAGTTTATGTTAATGAAGTGACTTTTGGAAAGTTCCTAGACAACCCGAGGGTGGGCCAGGTTGTCAGGGGAAATAACTTTGAGACTAGAGACCTGTAACTGAGGCTAAAGATAGTGCTGGAGGTAGTTTATTAATTCCCAAGAGTCAAGGATTTCATCAAACATGTCTACATACTTCCATAAGCAAAAATCTGAAAGGACTGGATTGCAGGAGTTTCTGGGTGGACAAACAGGAATGCAGCCCTGTGTGGGGACAGACTGTCTGGGGAGTGAGCTTTGTCTGACCTTCCTCGATGTACACTTTCATCTCATGATGCATTTGTGTCCTTTTCAGTATCTTTTATAATAAACTGGTCAACAAGCCATGTATTTCCCCGTGTTTTGTAAGTCATTCCTGCAAATCACCCCAGCCGGTGGGGTTGGAGGGTAAACTGAGGTTCTCCTTCTGATCCGTTTCTACCACGGTGAAGGGCAGACTTTTAGGGCTGAGTCCTTCCCTTCGTGGGCTCCATGAACTTCTTAGCAGAGTTAAAGTAGAGGTCACCCCAGTGAGGTATGCAGAGAATCCAAGAATTACTTGGTACGGGAGACCCCACATATTTGTCCTCAGACGTGCTCTAGTGGTATTTTGAAAGTAAAAAATATGCCTCACTGAATTAGTACCTAACAAACTCCTTTCAGCCTTCAAATAAGACTCTGTCCTAACTTTTTTTGTGAGACGTGGTTTCAGTATGTAGTCCAGGCTGACCTTGAACTCAGGGTGTTTCTCCTGCTTTAGCCTCCCACATGCCAGGATTACATGTGTGTACTGTCTTGTTTCTTGGTGTACAGCGAAGCACTAAGCATAGTACTTATCAGAATGTTTTGTAACTGGCCTTACCATTACACCAGGTGCATCACTGATTAATTGATTTCTATAATTTTATATTTGTCCATCTCACTTATGACTGTGAGAGCTATGTAGTATTTTCTCATTTTCAAAAGTTTGATCTTACAAAGTTCTTCCTAGTGGTTGTAAGGAGAAAATTTTTAGCTTTAATTTTTAAAATACTTAACCTTTTCATGGGGTGGAACAGGGTTTCACTATGATACCCAGGCTGCTCTTGAACTCTTGTCTCAAGTGATCTTTTTCTGTTAGTCTGCCCAGTGTCAGGACTACTGGCATGCTATTTTCACATTACACAATGAGCTAAGTAGTTAAAACTCCATTTTATTAACTTGAAAATAGAAAATTTTGAGCTATTGGTTATAATTTACTAACTTTCCCCTCAAGAATTCATGAGCAGCTGGAAGAGCTTGTTAGGCTGGAGTTCAGATCTTCCATTCTAACCTGAGAGCTCCTGGTCCTGTTCTCTTGGTCCCTTCTCATTTCTTAGCTTGTTCTTCTCCACAGCTGGGTGCCCTCCTGCTTATGTTTCCTCAGAGTCTTTGGTTGACATGAACCTGTGATTGTTGCCCACCATCTTGTTCATTCTCCTTTGTGGCTGTTTCTCTCACCTCAGTGAAGGTTACATCAGTTGGGTGCAGTTTCCTTTAGGGGACATGATCCTCCAAAAGGGAAATCTAGGGAGTCTGGGAGTCATCCTCCCCAGCAGCATCTGCTTCCTGTAACCAGGACTCCTGGGTTATGGGGAGTCCTGGGTTATGGGTATGACTGGCTTCCATTATATAACAGCACTGGCTCCATCTTATGACAACCAGTAGCCATCTTGCGTGCTAATTTATAGTTGTTTTTAGTTCTTAGATAAGTTTCTGCTTTTCCACGCCCTACTGTTTCCCCCATAGTCATGCTCTCTTTAGTACTAAGATAAGTTTCTCTTGCTGCTCACCCTGCCCATATCTCCAAAGCCACACACTCTTCCCTATCAATTGAGACCTCCTGCTGTTGCCTAGCTACCTGTTGACATCAAGAGCCTTAACCCGTCACTCCCTCATATCCTATATATGTGTGACATTGCTTTTCAATAAATGAGACTTGATCAGAGTCCTGTCTTGTCTCTGTTCCTTGTGTCTCTTGTCCTTTTTTCATCCCCACTCCTCTTCTGGGGTTCGCTTTGAGTTACCTGTGTGTCGCGAAGCAGCACCCAGCCTGGGACAAGTCGCACCCAACGTGGGGCTTTAGAATGGAGGATCCAGTGAGGGATGCTGTTCGGAAGGCCGGCACAAAGACAGGATGGAGAAAAACTTGAAAACAGAGGAAAAGACTACACAGGAGCCGGCTGCATTTTCTAAACTTCGGTGAGTGAACAGCGATTATGGGGCAAGAAATTAGCCAACATGAGATGTTTATTGAAAGTTTAGGAAAGGCTCTAAAGGCACAAGGAGTAAAGGTTAAATTTAAGCAATTGTGTCAATATTTTGATTTTATAAAAAAAGTCTGTCCTTGGTTCCCTGCTGAAGAAACTATCCATACAGAAAGGTGGAAAAGATTCGGTGATGCTCTCAAAGCTTTTTATGAGACCTTTGGACCTGAAAAGGTCCCTGTAAATGCCTTTTTTATTGGGGTTTGATAGATGAAATTTTGTCCCAAAGACATACCAACCCAATAGTTGGTAGCGTGGTTCATAAAGGTGAAAATATATTAAAAGGAAAAATTGAAAGCAAAAAACTAATCTAAAGAGGAAGGATAAAAAACAGATAAATGTAGATGAAAAAAGGATGACTTTATGTCCTTTGAAGTGATGATGAGGAAGAAGAGATAAAGACTTTAGACAGCAAAGATGAACAAACACAGGCATCACAAACTGATGTATCTTCAAAGCAAAAACTCTAACCTTGTGACTTGGAGGGGGCCAAATCCAAAAATAAGATGTACCCTGACTTGTCAAAATTTTGGGGGGGCTGACACAGATGGTAAAGAGATAAATTGGGATAACTTAGCAGAAGAGGCTGTGGGATATCATAATCCTGACTGGTCAGCTAATGACCAACAGCCTCCACCTTACTATAGCAAGCCTACTGCCCCCCCCCCCCGGCATGTGCAGCAGTTGATCCCAGAAAAGAACTTAGAGACAAAATTGAACTATTAAAGGGAACAAATAAAACTAGAAAAAGAACAATAAGACTTAATAGCCAAATTAGAAGGCCTAAAAATAGGAAAACCTGATAGCACAAACAAATCCGAAACCTTCCATATCCAACGACCACCTACAAGGGGCACAATTCCAAAAGGTACTTCCCTCTTGAGCCAGCAACAAATTCAGATGAAGTGGAAGTGTTTCCGGTGACTGAGGTGACAGACACATAAGGCCAGGTTTATTGTCATCACCTTAGTTTCGACTTCAAATTGATCAAACAACTAAAAACAGCGGCAGTACAGTGTGGAGCTACAGCTCCATATACTACAACAATTCTTGATTCAATAGCTACAAATTGGCTTACACCCATAGATTTGCAGACGTTAACCTGAGCGACTCTATCGGGAGGAGATTATCTCTTATGGATAACAGAATATATAGAAAACTGTAAAGACACCACCAGGCATAATGCACAAGCTGGAAATGGGTGTAATATTGATATGCTAGCAGGAGAAGGTATTTATGCAACCAATGATGCCCAAATGCGATATGATGCAGGGCTTTTTGCTCAAATTCAAACAGCAGCCACTTGAGCATGGAGGAAACTCCCCTCTAAAGGAGACATGAGTTCCTCCCTCACTAATATTAAACAAGGGCCAAATGAACCTTTTGCAGACTTTGTTGATTGCCTGCTTACTGCAACTGGTAGAATTTTTGGCAACCCTGATGCAGGCACAGAATTTGTCAAACAGTTAGCCTTTGAAAATGGTAATGCTGCATGCCAGGCCGCCATCAGACCCTACAAGAAAAAGACAGATTTAACAGGATATATACACCTTTGTTCCGACACCGGAGCTGCTTATCAGCAGGGACTTGCTATGGCTGCTGCCTTTCAGGGATATACAGTTAGGCAGTTTTTGTCTCAAAAAAGTGAACAAAAATGTTTTAATTGTGGAGATACTGGTCATTTCACTAAGGACTGCAGAAAAGATTTCAGTACTAATACAAAACCCAAGGCACCAGTGTTATGCCCTAGATGTAAGAGAGGATACCACTGGGCTAGTGAATGTAGATCTAAAAAAGATGTTAATGACAAAGAATTGCCCCTGTTCAGGGAAACGGGAATCATGGCCAGCCCCAGGCCCCCAAACCCAAACGAATCTATGGGGCGGTCAGCTTTGTTCCAGCAAATAACAGTTCATTTCAGACCTCTTCAGAGCCACAGCAGGGAGTGCAGGACTGGACCTCAGTTCCACCACCCACACAGTATTAACTCCTGAGATGGGGGTTCAGGCCCTCCCTACAGGAATCTTTGGCCCTCTACCAAAATATACATTTGGCCTTATAATAGGGAATAGCAGCACAATGCTTAATGGACTACAAGTCTTTCCTGGAGTGATAGATAATGGTTACTCTGGAGAGATAAAAGTCATGGCATCTTCTCCCAACAACATTAATACCATCAGGACAGGGCAAAGATTTGCCCAGTTGCTGCTCCTACCCCTAATTCCAACTCCTAATAAAGTAGTTTCTCAACAACGAGGCAATAAGTGACTTGGGTCATCAGATGTCTATTGGGCAAAAGTCATTTCAATGCCAAAATCCCTTATGTCCCTGTGGTTACATGGTAAAGGGTTTTTAGGACTAATAGACACAGGTGCAGATGTCACTATCATCAAAAAGAGTGATTGGCCTGCAGCCTGGCCTTTGGACATTATCATGACTCATTTAAAAGGCATAGGTCAAAGTCAAAACCCAGAAAGAAGCTCAAAACTCCTAACTTGGAAGGATAAAGAGGGCAACCAAGGCCCTGTACAACCCTATGGCATAGTAGGTCTACCAATAAACCTTTGGGGCAGAGATTTGCTATCTCAGATTGGGCTAATCATGGGTAGCCCTAACACTATTGTCACTGCCCAAATGCTAAAAAATGGATAGTCACCTGGTCAAGGTCTAGCGAAAAACAGCTCAGGAATTAGTAAACTCCCCAAAAGAGACTCCCCAAAAGACTGATTAAGCTAGATTAGGCCATTTTCCATAGGGGCTGTTGATTCTCCTGTGGCCCATGAAGAAAAAATTACATGGTATCAAAACAACCTGTGTGGGTCAATCAGTGTCCTCTCACCTCTGAAAAGTTATTGGCTGCACAACAGCTGGTACAGGAGCAGCTTGAGGCTGGCCATATAGTTCCCAGTAATTCTCCCTGGAACACCCCTATCTTTGTCATCAAGAAAAAAATCAGGAAAATGGCGATTATTTCAAGACCTTAGAGCAGTAAACAAAACCATGGTTCTGATGGGAGCCTTACAGTCAGGCCTCCCTTCGCCCACTCCCATACCTCTGGGCTGCTTTAAAATTGTCATAGATTTAAAAGACTGCTTCTTTACTATCCCCCTGCATCCAGAGGATCAAGAATGTTTACCGTTCAGTTTGCCTGATATTAACTTTAGAGCACCTATGAAGAGATTTCAATGGCATGTCCTGCCACAAGGCATGGCAAATAGTCCTACCTTGTGACAATCCTTTGTTGCTTCAGCAACACAGTCGATAAGAGATTGTTGGTCACAGGTGTGTATCATTCATTATATGGATGACATTTTAATAGCTGGAAAGGATGGTAGTGATGTTCTGAAATGTTAAGATGCATTGCAGACTGCCTTACAAAATAAGGGACTACAGGTGGCCCCTGACAAAGTCCAGCTTACAGATCCATATACATATTTAAGTTTCCAAATGAGGGGGCCCTGGATCTCTTCATAGAAGATACAATTAAGACTAGACAAAGTTAAAACCTTGAATGACTTCCAAAAGCTTCTCAGAGATATTAATTGGCTTACCCCCTACTTAAAACTTAGTAAAGGTGAATTAAAACCCCTTTATGACATCTTACAGGGCGATCCTAATTCCACATCTCCTCATAAACTTACTCCTGACAGGGGACAAGCAATAAATATTGTAGAACAAGCCATCTTCTCTCAGGCTGTGACTTTTATGGATTATGATAAACCCTTAAAATTTATTATATGTAAAACCACCCTTTCCCCAACTGCCGTTTTCTGGCAATCACTGCCCTTAATGTGGGTCAATTTACCAGCTACACCCAAAAAGGCCATTGAACCCTACTATCAAGCCATATCCAGCCTTATAATCTTGTGCAGAAAACAAGGAAAATGTTACTTTGGTAAAGAACCAGACGTTATTATATTGCCTTATACCCAAAAACAAATTGATTGGGTTATGCAGACTACTGATTTCTGGCCCATCGCTCTTGTTTCCTATACAGGACTCATAGATAACCATTATCCCCCAGACAAGCTTATTGACTTTGCCAATAGACATACATTTATTTTTCTCACAGTCACAGCACTTCACCCATTAAAAGATGCCCCACTAGTGTTTACTGACGGCTCCTCAACAGGTATGGCCACCTATGTCTTCCAAGACAAAAGTATAACCTTTCAAACAAACAGTACATTGGCCCAATGAACTGAATTGCACACTGTCACTGCAGTTCTCTCTGCCTTCTCTACTCAACCCCTCAACATATATATTTGCAGTGCATATATTGCCCAATCTGTACCCCTATTAGAAACAGCTGGTCAAGTTAAAAGTGCCTCCAAAACTGGAGAGCTATTTAAACAGATACAGATGCTAATCCATAAAAGAACTCACCCATTTTTTATAGGGCACTTACATGCTCACTCTGGGTTACCAGGACCTCTGGCTAAAGGCAATCATAAGGCCAACCTGGTCACTCAAGCACAGGCTTCTCTCTATGCATTGACCAATATCAGCACCAAAAGCCTTGATAAAAAAATTGCCATGGCGCAAAACACCCATCAGCTACATCATCTCAATGTCCAAACCTTTCGACTCATGCACAAAATTTCCAGAGAGCAGGCCAGACAGATAGTTAAAAATTGCCCTTCTTGCACCACACACCTCCCAATTCCACATCTTAGAGTTAAGCCTAGAGGATTAATCCCCAATGCATTATAGCAAATGTATGTCACTCATATTCCTGATTTTGGTCATCTCAAATATGTTCATGTAATTGTGGACACCTTTAGTGGCTTCATTTTTGCCTTCCTCCAAACTGGAGAAGCTACCAAACATGTAATCAGCCACATGATCACTGCCCTATCAGTCTGGGGATAAAACAGATAATGGCCCAGGCTATGCTAGCTCTGCTTTTGCTTGTTTTTGTCAACACCTTAATATTCAACACATAAAAGGCATACCCTATAATCCTCAGGGTCAAGGAATAGTTGAGAGAGCACATCTCTCCTTAAAACTCACCACTGAAAAAATAAAAAAGGAAGAATGATACCCTACTAGGGGTCACCTAGAAACATCTTATCTCATTCCCTATTTATCCTTCATTTTTAAAATTTGGGTTCCAATGGACAGTCAGCAGCCAGTCTCTTTTGGCATACTGAAACACAAAAACAATACACCTCAGTATTATGGAAAGATCCCTTGACTAACTTGTGGCACAGCCTGGACCCAGTACTCATATGGGACCAGGGATCAGTATGCATTTACTCCAAAAAAATGAAATCTGTGAGATGGCTGCCAGAGTGACTGGTTAAACAAATAGGTCAAGTTCAACAAATAGAAGACAATCTCACAGATGACTCCAGGGATCAAAAGACCCCCTGAGAGAATTTCTCTGTTTTTCTTTCAGGTAATGAAACCAAGAACCTGGATCTTGTCGCTGGGAATCTTGGCAACCCTGCCACTAATGGTAAGGAGCAGTTTTGGAAAGCCAGTAATATCAGACAGCTACATAAGCAAATTTTTGGTGCCCCATGTGATTGCAAGGAAGGTATTGTCAAAATCAAACCCACCAGTTATACCAGGTCTCCAGACTGTGGCAATAAAATAGCATTCCTCACATATACTCCCACCATGGGAGGGGGTTTTAATCAGGGCTATCAATGCTATCTCAAACCTATTCTCATCCCCACGACCAACAGTTGACCAGGACCATGTCCAAAGGAGTGCCATACATTCCATGCTGCAGTGCAGTCTTCCTTTTATGACTTAGTACAAAAATGCATGGGACCAAACAATAAGACTTATTTTACAGCCATTCTACAAAGCACCTTCCGCGGCACTTTTAGGGACGATTGGACCAACATCCCACAGGTCCTTGGTAATCCAAAATATGCCCAGGCCTCATGCAGCAGCACTCTAGGCAAACCTGTCTGCTGGCACCGGGTTGCTCCTGCCCATATCTCTGATGGTGGTGGACCACAAGATAATATTAGGGAGGCTATGACCCCAAAACAAATAGAAAGAAGTATAGATGCCATGTTTCCAAAAATCCGTTATCACCCTCTGGCACTCCCCAAATTGCGAGGAGTCAGTTAACACACTCAGACCTCAGATATTCTAAAAGCCACACATGAGGCTCTAAATCGCTCCGATCCTGACTTAGCTAGACTGCTGGTTATGCATGTCCATGGGCACTCCTATGCCTCTTGCCATCCCTTCTAACTTTATCCCACCTAATGACACACAGAAGGATTCCTTAAACTGTAGCGTTCACCCCCCTTTTAGAGTACAACCCATAGCTTTAAGGACTCCCACTGTATACAGGGAACATTTCAAAATGATAGCTCTGATCTTGATATTGGATTTGTCACCTTTACTAACTGCAGCCAGATATATAATAACAGCTCCCCTCTCTGTCCCTCTGAAGCACAAGTGTTTGTCTGTGGGGGAGATATCGCCTTAACATCCTTACCTGGCAACTGGTCAGGGTTATGTGTCACAGCTACCCTGTTGCCTGACATACATGTTATACCGGGAGATGAGCCTGTTCCCATCCCAGCCTTGATTATGCTACAGGCTGTACCAAGAAGGCAGTACAATTCATTCCCTTCTTGGTAGGGCTGGGCCTTTCAGGAGCCCTAGCGAGAGGATCTGCAGGAATGACAGTTGCTTTACAACCCCATGCCAAACTTTCAAACCAATTAATTGATGATGTACAGACCTTATCTAGCACTATTCAAGATATCCAAGATCAATTAAACTCTTTAGCAGAGGTAGTCCTCCAAAACAGAAGGGGATTAGACCTTCTCACAGCAGAGCAGGGAGGGATCTGTTTAACTTTGCAGGAATGCTGCTGCTTTTATGCAAACAAGTCCGGCATTGTTCGAGATAAAATAAAAAAGCTACAAGAAGATCTGGTGAAAAGAAGAAAAGAATTATTTGAAAGTCCTCTTTGGAGCCCCTGGAACGGAATCCTGCCCTACCTCCTTCCCTTGCTCGGACCCTTGCTCGCACTGTTAATCTTGCTTTTGCTAGAACGTTTTCTTTTTAATGTGGTGGCTTTTGTCAAACAACAGGTGGATGCCATAAAAATGCAACCTATACAGGTCCATTACTGCAGGCTTGAAATGGCTGATAGAGAAACTTACAGGCAGCCTGAGTATGATAATGCTTTGTGAAAGCATGCTGTCCATTCCATTTCTCTTACCTTGGTGCGATAGACTGGATAGACAGAGACGGGCAACTGGGCCTCACAAGGGACACCAGCCACCACCTAAGACAGGAACAGGGCCTCTTGCTGTCCTGCCTTCCAATAATGGGTAAGAACAGGTTGGCGCCCCAGTGGAAGCGCCCTGACCCAAGACAGGCACAGTCTCCTCAAGGATCCAGCCTCTTATAAGCCTCTAATATTCTAAAGAAAAGGAGGACCTGCAGGGAGCCTATGACTGGCCTCCATTATATAACAACACTGGCTCCATCTTATGACAACCAGGGGCCATCTTAAGTACTAATTTATAGATAAGTTTGTAGTTCTTAGATAAGATTCTGCTTCTCCACGCCCTGATGTTTCCCCCACAGTCACACTCTCTTTAGTACTAAAATAAGATTCTCTTGCTCCACACCCTGCCCGTATCCCCAGGGCACACTCTCTTCCCTATCTATTGAGACCTCCTGCTGTTGCCTAGCTACCTGCTGACACCAAGAGCCTCAGCCCCTCACTCCCTCATATCCTATATATGTGTGACATTGCCTTTCAATAAATGAGACTTGATCAGAATCCTGTCTTGTCTCCATCCCTTGTATCTCTTGCCCTTTTTTCATCCCTACTCCTCCTGTTGGGTTACTGGTAGCTTACCCACAGGACGGGAAGCAGCGCCCAGCCCGGGATACTGGGTGTGCTCCTGTCTCACAGAGCTCTGGAGAAAAATCCATCTCCTCATCAGTGTGGAGCTCGTTCATGAGGCCTTTCAGTTTCCCTTGAGTTCCTGCACTTTCCTTCTCTCTCCTCTACTTTTCTCCCTCTGACTGGCCAGGTATCATTTCCATCGATGCAGAGGGATGCTCTAATAACCCTATTATGACCCAGAAAGTTGTCTACATGCTACCTAAGTTATTCTGTTGAGTAGGAGCTGAGATGTGAATCTCCTGCTTGGGAAGAAGTGCCATGGGATAATTGAAGGAGCTTTTTGACACCATCAGTGACATCCTGATGGTCACACACAGCCCATCTGTTGCTTTGTCAGTCTATGCTTGATTAAGCCAGGTCAGAAGAAAGTGGGGTCTCTGGTCTACCTCTAGTTTCTCCTGGAGATGCTTCCCGTGACCTGGGGTTTAGAGTTTTACCCCAGTCCAGACTAGGAATGTGACAAGGGACAATCTGATTGGATGTATGGCTAGAATTCCGCTGAGAGTCTTGCTTGTTCTTTGAGTGTTGTTTTTCTCTTTCTGAGGGATGATAAGGGTAGTGTGTGTCTACAATGTACCTGGAAGACGCAGGCTCAGGACTGGGGTGGGCAAGGCGCAAGGGGCGTGGCTTGAGAAAAGAGGGGTGGGCCACGAGAGGCTTGCGGGGGAGGAGAGGTCTTGCCTGAACTCGCTGGGTGGGCTGGGGGCGCGGGCAGGGTCCAAAGGAGGCCCCTTGAGAGGTGAGGGGGAGGGGCCTTAGGAGGTGCAGGGGGCTGGAGTGTGAGGGAAGAGGGTGAGGGCCTCGGAGGGAAAGAGCGGAGTGGGGGCTGCAAGGCAGCCCCGCTGGGAAGACAGCGTGGAGTGGCGCTCTTGTGGGGCGCAGTGGGGTTGGTCCGGTGCTCTGTGGCCGCGGGGGGCCCCATGACGCTATCTGGGGCCTGCAGGCTGCGCCCTCCCAGCTCTGGGAAGGAGACGACCCACTGGGCGTGGGCTGAGGCCCGAACGCACGCGGCGCCCTCCCACAAGCGCTCGCCCGGGACAGCTGAGTGGGACCCAGGCTCTCTCTTTCGCCATCCCCTTGCCTCCCTTCCTCTCCCCCTCTTTCCTTTCCCCTTCTCCGCCATCCCTCACCATTCTTTCCTTCCATATTGGAGCAGAGCTGTTTGTTAAACCGTTGCCTTTATCAAGTTTTCCCATGGCCTTTTAGGGGCTGCAATAGTGTGATGTCTGGTCCCATCTGTAGGTTTAGGACATCACGGAGCTCCCACCTGTCTCATGCTACATGGTGGAGATCAGTCTGGAGATGTCTCAAAGAGCCAAGATTGGAAGTCCCATTTGTTCCAGCTATTCCACTTCTAGGCATATTCCCAGAAGAGCTGAAAACATCATACCATGGTGATGTATGTGCACCCATGTTTATAGCAGCAAATTTGTAATAGCCAGATCTTGGAAACATCCCAAGTGTCCATCAATTGAGGAATGGATAAAACAGTTGTGTTTTTGTAAAATGGAGTACTACTCAGCTATAAAGAATGATCACATTGAGATGTTTATAAATATATTTATAAACATATGGGTGCAGCTTGAGACCATACTCATAAGTGAAATAAATGAAACCCACCTGTATAAATACCAAATAGTTTGCCTAGTGTAAGAAATTATAACAATACATAAAAGTATATGGTAATCATGATTCCTCATTATATTGCTTTGAAGCATTATAATGTTTTCATTCATTAATTGGAATGGTTTTATTCTGGGCTGTTTGATTTTATTGTCTGTGATGATATGAATTGCTATTTTGAAGGAAACAAGACATCATAATAGCTAGTGCTGATTTAATATAATCTTGTTTTGAAGTTCCGTCAAGCTTTTGTTCTTCTGTCTCCATCAGTCTTAACGTGTTGTATCTTATTGGATTTTATTATATGTGATAGTACAAACTAAAACTTTTATAGACAAGGAGATAACATAGAAATCATTATTCATTTTATGTTAGTTGGTTCTAGATACCCTGTAAGACTGTCATTCTCTTGAATGGTTTTACATTGTCTTCATATGTTTTTTTTTTATTTTTTTATTTTTTTTTATTTAAGAGGAAAAAGGGAAAAACACAAAACAAAACAAAGCAGTGTAAGGTTACACATAATACAGAACTACAAAAAAAAAACATAACAGTAAGAAATCACCTGTTAATAGATTACATATTATCATCTTGGAAATAGTTGCTCAAATCACAGTATCAAAGAATACAAAGTAGACATTCAAACAGAGAGACTGCAAACAGCTGTGTTCAATGATCCAAAAACATTAATATAGTCAGCTATTTAACATCCCTAAACACACTTGCTGTTATATCCGTTAGAGCTCTTTTTTTTTCCCTCCCTCTCTTTTTTACAACAAAATTTACACATTTTGGATTTTATTACTCCTTAGTTCTTATTACTTTTTTTGGGGGGGGAGAGAATATAGTCAAATATGGCAAAACAAAGCTGTAAGTCAAAACCAAGGATAGACATAGCACATGATGTAGAACAGAGTACAAGGTTATTAACAGTGGTTATCAACATTGTCTCTTGTTTCCTTAAAAGGAATTGTCTATCTCATTAGATATTATAAAGTTGGACAAAACAGTGGAGAACAAGACCAATAAAACTTAGGCATTGTGAACATTACAGGACTTCCAAAGGAGACAATAGTCAAACCAGTTGT